ATATATATATATATATATATATATATATATAAATAAATTCATCTAAAAACTCATGAATCATTTTTTCTTTCTTCCAAAATTCAGAACTCATAAACTCAAAATTTTAGCTGTGGAATTGAATTTTATCGGCGATTAGAAAAAATTGAGTAAATTACTTACATATCATCCATGAATTTAGCAGCAATCATGACGCTGGTGATAAGAAGACGATGAATATTGAAGGAGTTGATGGGCAACGAAGGTTGACACTGAGTAAATCGATCGAGATAAACATAAGCAACAACGAAACAACAAGGGCTACAATTTGCGTACTTGAAAATCCTCTCTAAATAGCTCTGAATTGAGATATTTGGCCGCGTGAGTCCGTGGAAAACAGAGATCTTCTGTGGTTGAAATCGGCCATTGATATCGTTAGCTTCAGCGACGCGTTGCAGAAGAGAAGATAAGTAATCGATGAGTTTCGGCATCAGATTTTGATTTTGAATTTCCAGTTCTGCCATTGTTGTTGTTGTTGTTTTGGTACAGAGAAAGAAAGGGAAAAAAAAGGGGATGTGTATGAGTGTGTAATGTGTTGTTTAGATGTTGTAATATATAAGTGATTTTCATTTTCATTTTTATTTTTTTCCTATTTTGTAAAAGGTTTTGTTTTTTTTTATTATAAAGAATTGTTGTTGTTTTTCGAATTTTGTTTGTATTTAACTTCATTTTCATTTTACTTTTTAATATCTTGTAAGTAACAACCTGTAATGTTGGTTGTTATTTTTTGGTGGGTAACTTTAGTTACACAAAAATAGCCTTTTATATTTTGAAATATGTCATTTGAGACTATATGTTAGATGTTGGTTAGGTTTTTTTTTGCGGAATATATGGTGATTTAATGAACTTGATGTGTTTTATTTAGTGCACGATGAAATTAATGTTAGTCCTAAGTACACCATTGAACATGGCATTTTCATATCTTTGATGCTTCCAGATAATTTGATCTCAGCTTATGACTGTATATCTCTTAATTATTCTACTGAATTTTGTTACTTTCTATCATCACAATTCACAAGTACTGAATAACTCTTTTAACTTAGATCGATAGAAACAAATCACTTTGTCTTTGATTTCTTTCTATGCTTGGATTTGAAAACCTGATCTCTCTTTTTGATCGATAATATTGATTGCTAGACTATAAATTATTTTTTTTGCTTCTAATATCTTATTTCTTGGGGTGTCTTTTAGGCTAGAAATTAAGTATTGAATTAGATTTGGATTCTTTAATTTGAACTCAAGTTTGTGAGAGAGGGAAAGATTGTTTGTGTTGAGTAGTTACCTTTTCTTTTTTAAGACTAAAGTTATTAATTATAAGCTCTTTTCCCCCCCTTTCTTGTGGGAAAAAGTGTTAGAAAAATGATAATGGGGAAAGAGTGATGGGCATGCCTTTTAGATTAATTATCATGTGATTACATGTGGATTAGTGTTCCTTACATGTTGATTGTAGGTCCCATTTTTTTTTCAAATTAAAATGATCTTTCATGTGTTTTGATTCTATGAGCAATTAGGTTACATAATTAGGATTTTTGTTTTGCATCTTAATAACACTTTAATACAACAATGTTCTTGCTTTTCCAGCCATAATTATAATTTGTAGGCCAAAAAAGGATCCAAAAGAAATTAAATAGATCGCCGCGATTAGATCTCTCCACATTCAAAATTCAAACTATATTATTGAACTTAATTTAAAAACAATAAACTAGATTTGCATATTGCTAATTATACATAAATCTTTGCCATTATCATATAAAGTTTTGATGGATAAATGTTTTAGATCTCGAGGGCAAAATAGAGAAATTAATAGAAGAATAAAAAGCATAGAATATACAGCAAGGTTCATTTTTAATAAGCTTTTTTGTCCCTAATAAGTCATAGTTGGCAAAGGTACATTTTCTTGCTTATTCACAAAAAAACAAGGTGCATGTCTGTGCTCATTTTGTCTACTGGCACCATGTCTAGCCTACTATTAGAAATCACACTTTTTTTTTTAATTTTTTTTGTTATTTACATATACCCATCATTGTTGGTGCATTAATGGCAAATCTAAATTTATTTTTATAGTGTATAAAAAAAAATTACATTCTTTGTTACCTATGGATAATAATTATATTTTTGGAGAACCAGAAACTTATTATTCCATCCATAAACTCGTTCCAGAGAAACAATGTCTCTACATGATTCTGTTATTTCATATTACGTGTTTTTTGTTTAAGGAATTCAAAAAAAAATCGATCGAGGAGATGAAATTATTAAATATCTCATGACAAGGTCTAAATTAAATAAATTCAGTCCAATAAAGGTTGATGGAACTATCAGAAATTTGGTGAATGACAAATTGGTTCTAACCTTATATGAATCGACTCATTTTCATGTATTTGGTCATTAAAGATAGTGATGCTGACATTTTGATATTTATATTGTTGAAAGATAGTAGTTGAAGAAATAATTAAAATAATCGTAAATTTATTCGAAACATATCATTATTAGAAAGAAAAAATCAAAATACAATATTCAAATTAATAAATAATTGTACTTCCCCTCCCGAGTATTGGTAGATCCTATATTTAGATATGTAATTTGAGGTGTTAAACAGGTAGATTGAACTGAATTTAAACAGATTAAAATAAATCGAGTTGATAAATGGTGAGTCACTGACCCGTTTAAAAGTTACTCATGATCAAATGAATTGTATTGTGATAGGCTAAAATGTGATTCAAAATCCAACCTGCTTAATTCTTACTAAATTTTAATTGTTTATATAGTTACATAATAATATTACTTTTTTTCTTTATTATTATACTACATAGAACATTTCAAATAGAAATATATATATTTTGACAAAAAATTTATTGATTAATTTGTACAAAATATCAATCCAAATTTTGATGGATTTGATTAAATAAATAGACAGATCAATAAATTTGTCCAAACTTAAACAAGTTAAACATATATATTATTATGTTTTCATAAAAGAGTATATTAAGGCAGCTACTTTACTACCTTACTTTAAGAAATTGCCAAAGCTTTACCATTTATTTGGTGTTACCTTTTCTTGAGGTAAATATCTTAAGAAATCAAACTCTTAATAGCAATGTTCTAAATTTTGCTTTCTTAAATGGTTACAATTAGTTACTTCATCTTATATAATAATTGTCATATTAATTGTTCAGATAATTATGTTTTATCGTGTGAAATTAGGTCTTAGGCCTAACTCACACCCCAAAAGCTAGCTCAAAGGGAGGAGGATTGTCCAAGCCTTATAAGGAGTTCACCCATCTCATTAACCACCGATGTGAGACTTTTGTCATTCTTTAACACCCCACCTCACGCCCAGTGCTTAGCATCTGGTGCGTGGAAAATTTTTAATTTTGGGGACCTCAACATCGGGTGAGACGGACCCTGCTCTGATACCATGTGAAATTAGGTCTTACGCCTAACTCACACCCCAAAAGCTAGCTCAAATGGAGGACGATTGTCCAAGCCTTATAAGGAGTTTTTGTCATTCTTTAACATATTGTGACAATGACATAACTTCTCACTCAAAAGACGTTCAATATTTACGGTATAGTTATAAAACTTTTAAAAAGGATTTCAATAATTTTCTCAATGAAAGAATCTTGCCCTCTAACTTTGAGTACATATATTTTTATGTAGCAAGAATTAACTAAACAAACAAAGTATTTTAACTTATAATTGATCAATTTAACGTAGTTCAAAAGAAAAGAAACAAAAAGAACTCAACAATAGTGTTTTATTAGAGAAAATTCTATAAATGAATTAGTTGTTATAACAAGAAAAAGGTGAAAAATATATAGATAATATATTATCAAATAAAGCACTACATAAAGATGTGAGATTAAAAAAAAATATCAACAGAAATGTGCAAAAAATAATAAAGGTTAATTCTTTTCGTCACTTATTCACGTATGTTTTATATGATTAATGGTCAATACAATTTCTTTTTATGTATAATCAATGACATATTTACCTATAGCAGGTAATTTGACTTATTATTAAGATTATGAAATTCAACATTTTGAGAAAGTTTATTTGTAAATATTTTTTGTGTTACCTTATAGAGCTAAGATTGCACGTTTAACCCTATAAATAGTATAATCTTTAATTTTTTTCTTTTCTTTAGAAATTGAAGTTAGGTTTGGACATAATTTACTTGTAGCATGTAGGATATTATGATAAAAAATAAAGGGATAATGCACGTGTACCTTCTCAACCTATACCCGAAATCTTAGAGAAACACTTATACTATACTAAGGTTCTATTACCTCCGAACTTATTTTATTAATGATTTTCAATCCTTTTTTGGCCTACGTGGCACTATCTTGTAGGCCCTGATTGACTTTTTGTTTCAAACTAGTGCCACATAGGCTGAAAAGGGATAGAAAATCACTTATAAAATAAATTCAGAAGGGGTACCTAGTATAGTGTAAATGTGTTTCTGAGATTTCGGGCATAATTTGAAATAATAAAATACAAACTAATGTCTTTAGAAATAATAACCAACACAAAATAAGGGCAAATGGAAATCGAATGATCCTTGAAATACTATCAACGTATATAACTTAAATTCAAATATAAATAATACTATTCTCACCAAAGATTTAGTTTGTCAGTGTCATTTGAATGTTATTAATTATGTACAATATGTATATAACTCTTAAGGGGTTTCGTGTCGTTTTCAAAAATTTAGTGTTTTACGTCCACATAATATACAAATATCCAAGCATACAGCTGGATTATATGAACAATTAAAATGTAAAACCTCTTTTTTTAGACAAAAAATTATAAGACATTAGGACCAAATCCCCCACCTCCACGTTGCACATGTGAAAAAAATTCCAAAATGAGAAAGTTGTTAAGCCAAATTACTGTTAAAATGAATAAAACTGATTAATTTGTGTTAAATGAAAAGAATTGGTTCATTTTTGTATTAAGTTGATAAAACATGCAAGTAATTTCTACATTAACAAAAAATATTTTGTTGTAGTATTGTTCCGTTATACTCTCTGTGCTGTTTTGATGTATGTTTTTTTTTGTTTTCAGCCAGTGATCTATCGAATACAATTTCTCTATTTTACTTCGAAGGTAACTAGGTAAAGTCTGCATACACTTTACTCTCTCAAAATTTCACTTTGTAGACTATACAACGAATATATTATTGTTGATCATGAAGAACTAGTCAAAACGAAACGACTTCATTGATGATCTCTATTTCAAACTAGAGGATGGTAAACCTCGTGATAGAAATCAAATTTAAATTAGTCAGACGGTAAATTCTAAAAGATAATATAAAATAAATAGAGGGGACTAAAATAGCACTCCCATGCCCTACCACTCCTCCCCTAAAAGAAAAATGATATTGAAATAAAGTGGGTAGTTTTTTTTCCTTGGAGTGAAACAAGAGCAAAGCATGTCTTGTAAGAGAGTTGTTCTCCATATTTTGAGCTACTCTATATAAAAATCAATATATATATATATATATATATATATATATATATATTGTCTTCCCCCATGTGATATTATGATCCACCCC